TAAGAAGTTTATTTAGTCTATGCTAGAAGAAAATAAAATATATCAATGAAAAAGGTGTGGACTATTTTGAATGAATTATTAAGCAACTTTTATAATTACAATGTATTTTCTTTTCTGATTTGTTTCAATCAAAGGATGAGAGCAACTGTTAAAAGAACATAGGAAGCATATACTACTTCATTGTTCCTACCTAAGGAAGCATATATTACTTTATTGCTCCCACCTAAGGAAGCATATATTATTTTATTGCTCCCACCTAAGGAGGAATATACTATTTTATTGCTCCAGCCTAAGGAAGAATATACTATTTTATTGCTCCCACCTAAGGAGGAATATATTACTTTATTGCTCCCACCTAAGGAAGCATATATTACTTTATTGCTCCCACCTAAGGAAGCATATATTATTTTATTGCCCCCACCTAAGGAAGCATATATTATTTTATTGCTCCCACCAAAGGAAGCAGTTATTACTTTATTGCTCTCACCAAAGGAAGCAGTTATTACTTTATCGCTCCCACCTAAGGAAGCATATATTATTTAATTGCTTCAATCTAAAGAAGGAGTTATCACTTTAATGCTCCCACCTAAGGAAGCAGTTATCATTTTATTGCTCCAACCTAAGGAAGCATATATTATTTTATTGTTCCAACCTAAGTATGCAGTCATCACTATATTGCTCCAACTTAAGGAAGCAGTTATTATTTAATTGCTCCAGCCTAAGTAAGCAGTTATCACTCTATTGCTTCCACCTAAGGAAGTGGATACTATCTTATAGTAAGACAAAGCTTAGCTTCATTTTTTTCTTTTGTACAAAATCAACGATGAACGTTGTTGATCTTTCCACCGACTTCTGTCTTGTTTGTTTGTTATGAAATGCAAAGATACACATTTGACTATCTGCGCTGTACCTATTCCGTGTATCGAAACCTGATTTGTAGTGTTACAAGCTCTCAAGTATACCGGGATTTTGGTGTTCTTTAATCCATTTCATCCAAATTACAATCATTATTAAAAACTAAAAAGAAAAAAAAAGAGCAAACTAGCTGCTTTAAATGATCTGTCTTCATACATAATAAAACAAACAAGTTCCCACGTGGGATCGCGATAAGTTTACAGACATATAACGCTAATATATGGGGTTCGATTCCTCGAAGTGGACACACAGAGAGCTCAATGTGGTTTTGCTCTAAAAACACAAACAAAAACAACAACAAACAAGAACAACAAAACAAACAATTTTAGAGTTATTCCAAGTCCTTATCTAATAATATAATGAGTAATATGGTAATGGCATGAATCTCAATCAATTAAAATTTGATAAAGTAATATCATATTTAAAAATAAAGATGTTGAGAGAATTTGAACATCATTTCGTTAGTAAGTAAACATATATCATATTTTAGAAATCTCTTTCTGATCGATTAGTATTTAAAATTATTTGTCTAACTGAACGCACATTTTGACATTATAATGTTTACGATTGATGGTTAGGTGAGTTTATTGCTAGTTATTTTGAAATTTGATAGGGAAATTTAATTTTAATATTAGTCATTCCTAACCCACACATCTTAGCTTTTATTATGTTGTACTTATAATATTTACTTCTTATCTCCTGTGGTCTGGTTGTATTAACGTGATTTTATAAATATATTTTTATAATTTTGGTAGCAACTACTTTCCATCACCGGCTGCAGATAGTGAATGGTAGTTTTAGACGTTGATGTGAGCTTGAGCATTTGAGCACACTTATCTGCTCTTAATGTTGAATTTTGTTTTACTTCTTCTGCACGTGAGGCTTACGAGTGATAAGTGGTGTAGCTGTGCTGTATAGGTCCTACTTTCTTAAACTCCTCTCTTACTTAAATACGTTTTACTCATCCTTCTTTGTAGTTTACATTCTAGTTTAATTTAGCTGTCTTTTATGTTCGATTTTACTTTTGCTTCTCTTGCCTGAACATATTTACTCATTGTTCAGTTTATACATATGTTCTTTTGTCCATGCTCATGGATTTGCTAAATTACAACAGGAAATTTGAAGTATAAACCAAATTAAGTAAAAACCAATTAAACAAATAAATATGAATATTTATATAAGTGTTTAACAGTTAGCTTAAACGAAAGCATGTACATCTTTTTATTCAGGGTTTATCAAATGTTTGTTACTGCTTAACGAATTCTTGTTTTTAATAATCTATTCTTATTTAGACAATTAGCTTGAAAGAATTTCATTGTGAATATATTGTCTGTATATTTGTAATTCGACTAAAATTGTATAAAGTCAAGTGGCTATATTCCAAAAACAAAAGTGTAGTATGATTGTAATATGAGAAAGAGAATGTGATAACATTATGTTTTAAAATTATATTTTATTACATTTGTCTTGTTTGAGATCAAAGCCTCATTTGGCTGTATCTACCGCTAGGAATCGAACCCCAGATTTTTAGCGTTGTAAAGCCGCAAACTTACCTTTGTACCACCTTGGAATATTATTATATTTGGAGAAACTCTATAAAATCAAATGATCATTATATGTGTATGTTTGGCGTAAATATTGAACCATTACTAGAATATTTCTTGGACAATTTTATTTGAAATAAATGAATACTGTTTAGAGATAACATACGATATGCACAGCAATATGACATAACATTTGCAAGATCAGAAACGATGATTAATTGTGCAGAAAAGCAGAAGCATGATATTAGATGGAAATATAAGTCCAATTAGAACGATCATTACTATACTTCGAAATAGCAAATGAATACTTATTTGCATTATTTCTTTTTTTTAACTAATGAATTATAAATAATACTATTGTTTGTCTTTATTTGAATGGATGTTTCACCGCTCTTCTAGCTAAGAGTCGTGAAAATGTCAAAGCTGTTTGATGAAACATTTGTTTAATAAACGAGTATAAACTATACCAAATCGATTGACAAAACTAAATTAGGATCATTAAGTTTGTAACGAATAGCATATTGCAAGAAATACTTATTCTACAATAGCATATTTATAATAGATAAAACAACAACTTGAAGTTGCTACTTTCCTAATACCTAATTAATTAATAGCTAATTATTATTTTGCTTGAATGTTTTCATTCCGAAACTTTGTTAATTATGGTTATTTATATTAAGCATAAAAATAAACAGTGGGTATCGAATCCCAAATTTTACCGTTATATGCCCGCAGACTTACCGATGAGTCATTGGGGGAGGCAGTTCATTATCTGTAAAATCGTTATGAGGACGAATTTGAACAACCTTTACTATGGATGAACTCTATATACATAATTTCCTTGAGATCATTTTCACTTTTTTATGTATTTTTTTCTACTGCTATTGATATCCCTGTTTTCTTTTACTGACCATTATAAGTTTTGGCATTATATATATATTAATATATGTTTGACTATAAATAAAATAAATAAGCTCAGTTTTAATTGGTTGATTGACGTCAACTACATTTTGCAAATACCTTTGTCGGACAGGTACTGTAGAACTGCGATGTAGCATAGTGTTACTTACGTGTTACGATGTAGCATAGTGTTACTTACGTGTTACGATGTAGCATAGTGTTACTTACGTGTTAC